TCAACTTGGTCAATTTCTAAGCCGTAATAGAATCTCTACTAGTTTTGGTAGTGATCTTGATTTGTTGATTATTTCTCTTGGCTACCATTCCTCTTTTTTTGTTTCTATTTTTCAAGGCACATTTAAGAAAGCCTATCAAAAATATGAAACACATATTTTAAATCATCTAGCCCATTCTCTTTTTCAAGCTTCTCAGGTTTTTGAACTACAGTTTATTAATTTAACTAGAGCAAATCATGATATTTTAGTATATAGGCTTATATCTGAATTAGCAAGTCCATCTATTTAACTAATTCAAGAATGGAATATTTATTTAAATTTAAAGTTAGAAGTAATTCAGTTTCAAAATTTGGATGAATTTTGGAAAAAAGTTTCTTACCAGTTGCCAGAATTAAGCATAATTGCAGAAAACTATATATGGCTTCCAATTTCATCATGTGCTGTGGAAAGAAGTTTTTCAAATTATGGCAAAATTTTAGCAAATAATAGACAGAATTTAAATAAAGATTCGTTAAAAATGTTGAATATTTTATACTTTATCAGTTCAAATAAATAAAGTTTTAAATAAAGTTTTATAGCTTAATGATATAAACAAATCAAATTGTAAACTTTTTGTATGTAAAAAAGCAATTTAAATTTTTAGTGCAACTATTTTTGAAAAAAAAATTAAAGTTTTTTTTTTAAAATGTAATAAATTCGTATATTATTATTAATCAGCAGCAAATTAAATAATTTGCTGATATCGAAAACATAATTTGCTAAATTATATTACAAAATCCACATGTCCCTAGCATGTACTGCAAAATGTGACATGTAACAATTATTTACCTGATTGAATCAAATTACTGTATTCAAAAATTTACTCAGTATTGGTTTTATTCAGCTATTTATGATCATAATTAGTAGGGAGTCATCGACTGAGTAACTGAGTTTTAATTTGAATAAACATAATCACATAGTAATACATAAAAGAAATAACAAGGCAGATGGTACTAGATGCACAAAATTTTCATTTCTTTTTTTAGTTTTTACCAGATTTTTATGGAACAGACAAACTAATAATTATTATTGATTGTCAAAAACTAGAGCTAAAATATCTAAAATAAACTATTAAAAATCTAAGACTAGAAACCTTTTATTAATTCTATTTAAAATGAGTTTTATATTATTAAAAAACATGTAAAGTTATAATTTCATATTTAGAATATTTTAGTATCAATAATTTCTTGTTGTCTAGCATAATGTGATGGATAACTAGTTTATCTGACAAGTATGACATATACACTGATGGAACCAATTAAACTCTCTTTAATTAATAGTACTGATCATTTGAATGATAGAGATATAAATGACAAAATGATTGTGGTTTTGATACAGCACTTTCTTAATACCTACCTTAATAGTGAACAATAAATTACCAACTGATGAAGACATTTCAGAACTTCTTAAACTTTCATGAGTTTACAATACTGATAAATATATAGCAAAATAATTATGGATAGTTGACTGATATAGAGAAGCATCCAATTATGAAAAATCTTTTGAAAGTATATCCAAAGTTATCAAACTCAAAATTTTTCTTTGCAAATTTATTACACAGTTGAAATGAATAGATAGAAATGAATTTAAGGCTGAAAGCATTCACAATTGTTATGCCTCTCTTATATAGTATTTAAAAAAACATTCAACAATTAAGCCATGTCATATATGGAACACCTACAAATTTGGAAAGGTCTTACAAATCTTGGATGGTAAAATGAAGAAGCTACAAAAGAAAGAATTAAGTGAAACTGATCAAACTGTTGCAATTACAGTGGATAAAATTTTTCAAGTTTTAGACCATGAATCTATGTTTGAAAATAATAATAAAGGTTAGTTTGATGTTGTTTTTTTTTGGCTTTCACTACTTTGTGGTTTGCGAGATGGTGATACTGCCAAATTAAAAGTAAGTAATATAAGCCATTATCAACCTCATAGTAAGTTGTTTCTTGTACTTACATATAAAAAAAATAATCAATAGAGTGTCTTGAAGTATAAAAAATATAGAAAGTTATAGCTGGCAAAACAATAAAACTCTGGTGAGACTCTAACAAAATCTATATAAAATTAAAATTTTTTGAAAAAGTCAAAACTTAGCAAAAATCAAGCCCTTTAAGACTTTAGAATTTAAAAATATGTAAAAGCAATAAACAAAGTAATATCCTTTTGTTAATATTCAAATACTATTAAAGAAAACTAAATTTTCTGTTTTTAAAATTTTTAAGTAAATAAATTTAATCTTAAAAATTCAAAGCCTAAAATCTTGTTTTTTTAGTAGTACTTATTTATAGATTAATATAATTTATATAAAATAAATTTACTTAAATATTTAAATTTATTATATAGATCTTATATAACAACCTATGCTTTTTTATTTAGTTATTGTATAAAATTATAAGTTAAATACCATGAAATAATATAGTTATTATATAGATATATAAATAACCTATAGACTTTAGCTATTGTTATTTACTATATATATATATAATAACAAATTAAATTTATTGTTAAAGTAGTAAAATTTTTCTTTGAAATATTTATTATTAAAAACTTTAATTAAATACATCTTATTCGTAATTTACTATTAAAGATAGCAAAATATAAATTTTGTTAAAATTTTTCTTAATAATTTAAATCAAAAAATTAGCTAAAAATAGAAAATAATAATTAGATAATTTATTATTTTATTAAAGATTATTATTATTATAAACTTAGAAAAAATACTTTTGAAATAGATTCAAGATTTATATATTTTTTATAAATTTATAGTAATAATACAGTTATTTTTCTATATAATCACCTTCTATATAGGTATGACCAGAGTAGAAATAGGAAAGCTTGGTTTGGTTTGGTTTGGTTTAATTCAAATTTGATTGATGCATGATCTGTATAAATAAGAATTTATATTGGATCAGACCAAACTTTCACATCCCTAGACCAGAGCTCCAACTTGGTTTCTTTATATGTACTAGATTAGCTCTCCTGCCTTTTTGAAATTACTTTCTTTAGCTAGTTATGTCACAGTGCCAATGTGCTTCTTGTTTAGGTAAGGCTAATCCTTTATTACAGCCCTTTTATATATTCACTGCTTCTCTCATCATTCCAGTTTCAGTAATATTGTATCACTCTCTCAAGCAAGTACCCAGCACCATTTCCAAATTAAAACTAATGCACATAATCTATTGATCATCCTTCTAAGCAAGTATACTACAAGTTAGATGCAAGTATGTTGGTATTGCCTAATATAGAAGTAAAAAGATATTGGTGTTGCTTCTAAGTTACTCCAACCAAAGAACTAACTTGCGCAATCTTTTATAGTCTAGACCTTCTATAACACTGCTGTCATATATAATGCCTGCACTCTATGATCAGAGCTTCTTCTGGAAATTCCTATTTCAAAACTATACTTGTACTTGAACTTTTCACAGAGCTTCACATTTGATTATGGCTCTATAAGGTTACAGTAACAAATTCAAAACTTTGCTACTAGCCCAACTTGAACTGTCGACCTTGTCTGTAGGGGTTTGAAAGCTTAATCAATAAGCCATGAGGTCCAAACCCATTTTTACAATATTTAAATCCTTACCAATTCTAATATAATACTGTTTTTTTTTATAAATAGTACTTTTTTTTTTTTTTTTAAAGAGTGAGGCCTGGCCTTGGTCTTTATTAAATAATTATGCTTTACATTATTTAAATGAATTACATGAATCATTACAGGGACCTACAGCTAAGACTACTTTATCCTCAGCCCAAAGCTCTACTAAAGTAGACTATTAGACCTCCACTAGATTTAGTTTAGCTATATACAATGTAGATATATTAGTAGTGGGAAACACTTTTTCCTATGTGTTATATTTTATTACACTAATGTGATCTGTGGGGGGGTGTGATGGGGTTGTAGCAGTATATAGGTCAGTTATTAGTTTATTTTGATGCATATCTTTACAGCGTTTAAGCTATATTTGTTTGTAGATATTATTTGATATTTTATGTAGCACTTTGATAAATGTATTGTTTGAGGTTGAAGTGATTGACCTAATATTTTCTGGAATTAGCCCTTGTAGTAGTGGAATGTTAGATGTATTTGTATCATTAGTGAAGAAGATTTGTACTACTGCTGCTGGATTTGGCAGATGAGTATCCTTTTTTGTGCATTGTTTTGTCACTGTTTGTATTATCACTTGATGTATGATGTTGGGTTGCCTGGGCAAATCAGCCAGTGGATATTGTCCTTAGTTGCTTGAGTGCATCTGTTGCAGGTTGGGTTTGTGTATTTTTTGGTGTGTCGATAATGTAGGTTGAGCAGTGTTGGTAACTCATCTAGTAGAAATTTAATTTTAAAATTCTTTTTCAGTGATAGTTTGGGGTTTATAAATCTTGTATATGGTTTATTGTTGAGGTTAATAAATTGGTGGGTGCTATTCTAGTTCATGTTTAATCGTATATCTTGCCAGCTACTTGTTCTGTTGAGAGAGTATCATTTAGCAGTGTTTCTTGCATTTTGTAGATGTAAAATAAAATGATGAGTTTTATGTTCTACTGGTACATTGTTCCATATAAGATAAAAGTTGTTGTTGTCTAATGTAAATAGCACTACTTTAATTTTGTGTAGCTGTAACGAAGTTGCTAGTTGCATAGTTTTTTGAAAGAGTGGGTGGTTTGCACTTTGGTTTATATAGGTGAACTTGATGGTTAAGTGTTTTCAAGCAATGATAGTTTGAATAAGCTGCTTGAGAGGCCAATAATTGTGTTTCTGAATAAGAAGGTTGAGATTATATGAGTATTGTATAACTGAATTAACATAATTTATAGTTGGCTTGTGAGGTATAAGTATATTGATCTTGCTGTTGAGGGAGGCAATTGAGAGAATTGATATAACTCCAATTAGATATGCTCTAGTGGTAGAT